CCCCCCATTAACCCTCAGTTTGTTTTGTGAGATTAAGAGTCACTTATGGTTTGTCTCCCTCCCAATCCCATCTTGTTTCATTTACTCTTCTCCTACCCCCTTAACCCCCCATGTTGTATCTCCTCTCCCTCATATCAGGGAGATCATATGATAGTTGTCTTTCTCCGATTGACTTATTTCGCTAAGCATGATACCCTCTAGTTCCATCCATGTCGTCGCAAAAGGCAAGATTTCATTTTGGTTACTGATTTCTAATTCAGTTCTCTGTAGTTAGAGGATATTTCTATTTTACTTTAATCTACTGAAATGTACTAGGACTTGCTCCATGCCCTTGCGTATGCCTGCCATTTTTCTTTTTTAAAAAATGTAATGTTCCTGTTTCAAGAAAACAAAAATGTGTATTCTGCTGTAACTGGCCACATGTTCTATATATGTTAATTCAGTTAACTTTGTTAATTGTGTTGTTCAAATCTGCTATACCCTTAAAACTTTTGTCTGCTTTTTCCATTAGTTATTGAAGAACTTGTACTAAAAATCTCCCACAATAATTAAAGATTTGTGTATTTCCCCATTTAGTTTTGTCAGTTTTTGCTTAATGTATTGTGAGGTTGTTATTAGGTGCACACGAATTTTAGATCGTTTATCTTCCTGTTGAATCAACCCATTTATCTCTATTTATCTCTAATAACAGTATCTCTAGTGATACTCTTTGTGTTTACTTTGTCTCATATTAGTAGTTACACTAGATTCTTTCAGTAGGTGTTCATATGGTAGACCTTTTTCTAGCCTTGTCTACTTTTCTTTATCCTAATATTTAAATATATCTCTTGTAAGGTACTTATACTTGGGCTTTTCTTTCCTTCTTTTTTTTTTTTTTTTTTAATAAACTTGACAATCTTTGGAGTACTTCATTTAAGTACTAGTTCATTTAACTTAATACAGCTACTGATATATTTGGCTTAAATTTATCATTTAAATCTCATTTTCTTCTTTTCTATCATCTTTTGACTTCTTTAAGTTCTCTATTTTTTATTTCTGACTTTTGTCTTTATCAACTACATTTTAATGATTCCATCTATTTATAAACTTGATAGCAATACATCTTTAAACTATTCTTATGGTGGTTATCATAAGGTTTCAGCATTACCTTGATTTACTTTAAATTTGTACACTTACCTAAAAATTTCAGATTTTTTCCTAGGATAGATTCCTGGAAGTGGGACACTTGACACATGGCATGAGTATTTTAAGGTCTTTGGGATATAAGCTCAATCTTCTTCCAGAAGGGTTATGTAAATTAATATTTCCATCTAAGAGAGTTTTTGTTTTACTGAGCCATCGTTAGATAATTAGACAGCTGTGCCATCATTAGATAATCATTGCTTTAAAAATCTGTTTATTAGGTAAATGAGGAAAGAAAGTAATTTACAACTCTGACTACTTCTGAGGTTGACTTTTTATTGTAATATTTATTAATCAAATAAACTTTTGCTTATATGAATAGCTTATTTATATCCTTGGACATTTTTCAATTGGAATTATTAGTGTTTTTTTAATCAGCTTATAAGAACTCATTTGAACTACGAATAATTCTTTGTCAATTGTTGAAAACAGTTGTTCCTTGTTTAACGCTTACTGTTTAAGAATCGTCCTCACTAGCCGTTAGACATGGGACGAAAAGAAAAGTTTATTCTGGCTGGAGCTCAAGACACAAGAACAGGCAGTGAGTCAAGGATTTTGCTTCTTTTAAAACTATCAAGTGTCTGTAAGAACTGATTACACAACATTTTTCCTTAAAGGTCGTCGAAGTTAAAAATAACGTAGTTTATGGCTTTTTAAGAGAAATGTTTCTGTTGCCAGTTTGCATAAGCACTCAGTGATCATCTTGTCCATCATAAAACTTGGTAAGACCGTTAAATGTAGTTTATTAGCATGATATTCTCTGTAGCAAAATAAGTATCTTCTCATGGACCTTATACTCTTCTGGCTTCAGTGTTAGATTGGGCAAGGGAGAGAGGTGAATCCATCTCAAAAACATCCACTAACCTTTATGAGCAGCGGAAAGAAGAAACCAGCTGTCCAGTGCCCCTGGGTCACTGGGAAGGGAAGCCCAGAGGAGGAGCTTAGAGTTTGCTTCAGGGGAGATTACAGGGACGGGGTGAGGGAAGTATCCTTAGTTATGTGTGCCCCAGGCAGGGATGAGTGGAGTACCAGCAAACTTACCTTGCTCTAGCTTTAGAAGAAAAATCTATTGTTTCAATGTTTTCAGTCTTACACATAAAACTGGGGAAAAGGTTTCATCTATTTAAATAGCTGGATATAAATCAGAGAACTTTACAAAGGTATGTGTAAAGTACAGCAATATATTTAAGCACATTTTTGAGACTGTCTTCATAGACAGAAAAGGTATTCAGGTTTGGAAAAGAAAATGAACATTGGCGAATGGGTCACAAACTCATCTACTTACCGTCATACTGCAGAAATCCGTTTGTATCTGTCTCTATCTCTGACTGTGGCTGGAAAAAAGAACAAAGCACCCATCAAAACTGTGCACTGCAGAAATAACACAATTACAGAATGAAGAGGGCAAGAAACTTTTATTAAATGCTCTGCAGGAGGAGGAGACAAAATCAGAGCCGCACCAATAAGTAATGCCATCTAGTGGATAAGGGACGTTACTGCATGGAACCTATCTTCACTACAAAAACTATTACTCAGCAAAGGCTTTTTGGATGTAATTTCTTTTTTCTTTTTTAAAAAATGTAATTTCATTAACTTTGCTACTAGGACTTTGTTGTATTAAGTGAATTATCGAAGAAGTTTTTATAGATACCTTAAAGAAATCATCCTGAGATATAACACTGCAGTTTGGGAGGTGTTTCTGCAACTTCTTAGCCAGTGTTGTCTTCCCGCCATTTGTCACCCTGAACAGAAAAAGGAAAAGAAAAAAAAATTGAATATACCAGGAAGGAAGATGCATTTAATATAAAACGTGTATTTTATTTTTTATTTTTTTAAAAGATTTTTATTTGACAGAGAGAGAGAGAGAGTGAGAGAGAGAGCACACGCACATACACGCACATGCACGCACAAGCAGGGGGAGCCCGAGGCCAGAGGGAGAAGCAGGCTCCCCGTGGAGCAAGGAGCCTAATGTGGGGCTCAATCCCAGGACCCGGGGATCATGACCAGAGCTGAAGGCAGACCCTTAACCGACTGATCCACCCAGGCGTCCCTAAAACATTTTAAAGTGATCCACAAAAAGGGTATTTAAAACAATATGTAATACCTAAGAAGAAATTATTTCTTTCATAGATGTGTTGGTAACAGCATAAGCCTGAGTAGATCTACTGTGGTAAATGAGGACAAATAAACTGGAAAGGATGGAGGAGAAAGGTCACTAAGTACCGGGCAAGTAGACTGGGTGATACTAAGACTTAAAATTACAGCTACCGGGTGGGAAGCAAAAGAATGTTCCGCCTATACTGAGCGATTCCCAGGGCTCATGAGCAACACTGAGAATACGAGTAGCATGTTTTAGTGCAAGTCTGTCCACCCGCTCGTGGTCACTGTGATTTTGTTTCAGTGTGCCATGGAGCAAAAGGGAGGACGGGCTTATGACAAGCCAGACAGCATGTATTCCCATCTCCACTGTGGGGCTCCCTTCCTCCTTATGGAGTCAGTTACTTATCCCTCCTGGCTGGACTGTGACAGTGGGGAGAAGGGGGATCTTGGCTAACTCCCCTGTGTATCTAGTTTTCCAGAACCACACATGGCACCCGAGAGGGGGTTCTGCAGTCAGTGGCTCAGTCAGAGGTTTTTTTTTTTAACCCGAGGCTGCTGCCTCAAAGGGTCTGTGGACCCACCTGTGGACTTTGTGAACTTGAATGGGAAAGAAATTACATCTTTATGTATATTACATTCTAACAGAATTTTAGCTTTCCCTTTAATTATAAGTAAAAAACAGTAGTAGTAACAGTACCTGTGGCTCTATCACCACTAGAAATCATAGGTATTTTCATATCCTGGTGCAGAGGGTGCAGAGATCTTGAAGTATGATTGATATTCACTATTATTTCAAATTGATGGCGGTTTTTAGACCCACCCCTGGACACTGTTATTTCATAAGCTAACCCTGTACATATCACAAAGCAACAATTCGTTTTTTTAAAATATTTTTATAACTGTATTTCAACACAACTGGTTTCTTTTGTATTTCTGTATTTTATTTTGTGCATTTAAAACCATTACTCTAAATCAAGATTTCATCTTGAATCTTAAATCAAGATATCATCAAGATTCATCACTGAATGTTGGCGGCACAAAAAAAACCTCTTAACTGCTCATTTATATGTAGGAACCTGTGCTTAATCCCAGATGACAGATTGCAATGTATTCATAATCCAGAAAAGAAACAAATATTCATTCATCAAAACTGTTTACTGGCTGTAATTCAATTATTACCTAAATACCTCATACGTACAAGGAACTTGATTCAAAGCTTTTTTTCATTAATTTTTAAAAAAGATTTACTTATTTATTTGAGAGAGAGAGAGAAAGTGAGCCCAAGGTGGGGGAGAAGAGGAAGGGGCAGAAGGGCAGAGGGAGAGGGCAGAGCCTTCAATCCCAGGACCCTGAGATCATGACCCGAGCTGAAGGTAGCCACTTAACTGACTGAGCCACCCAGGCGCCTCGTAAAGTTATTTCACTTAAACTAAGAACACACAATTGGATAGGATACGGGCCATCTCCTTGAAAAGACAGAAGTGCCTGGGTGACTCAGTCAGTTTAGCGTCTGACTCTTGATTTTGGCTCAAGTCCTGATCTCAGGGTCCTGGGATCCAGCAGGCTTGTCAGCTCAGTGGGGAGTCGGCTTCCTCCTTCTCCCTCTCCTTTTGCCCCTCCCCCTGCTCAAGCTCTCTCTCTTCCCCTGCCCCCTCAAACAAATAAATCAATTTTTTTTTTTTTAAAGAAAAGACAGGGAAGTGGTGGGTATTACCCTTTGCCTTGAGAAAATATTGGTACAAAATTTCTCCCTTTTAACAAAAATGTCTGTAATTCATACTACGTTTCCATAGTTCAGATATTGAACGTTGGTTTAAAAGGGAGAGTATGGGGTGCCTGGGTGGCTCAGTGGGTTAAGCCTCTGTCTTCGGCTAGGGTCATGATCTCGGGGTCCTGGGATTGAGCCCCGCATCGGGCCCTCTGTTAGCAGGGAGCCTACTTTCCCTTCTCTTTCTGCCTGCCTCTCTGCCTACTTGTGATCTCTGTCTGTCAAATAAATAAATAATTTTTAAAAATCTTAAAAAAAAATGAAAGAGAGTAAACAGGGCTAACTTTTTTGAACAACCTGGCCAGAAAATGTGTCATTTTCTAGACTTATCTCTTTCAGATGATATAGTCAAACCAACCGTACTTAGATCCCTTCTCACTGACTTAGCTCGAGACAATGAGAAGCAAGCACTCCAGTGTCACAGACTTGGAGGAGATAGACAAGACAGAAGGTAGTACAGGTCAGGGAGAAGAGAGGGGTTTAATGAGAATTTAACAAGTCAGAATGGCGCAAGTTCAAGCCTATGATCTATACTTGGAATTCTGGTCAGGTGACACCTTAAAACTAACTCTTCCCTTACAGCATGAATGCACAAGTCCTGTCCATTTGTTTTTTTATGTGCCAAGAGACAGGAAGGGTGAATGTTTTTGGAACATGACAGGGGAAGTTAAAAAGCCTGTCTGCAGGTACTTTAGAGGCAAATCCATTCTGTAGCAGGCAGGTATTAATATTACCATTTTACAGTTGAGGAAACTAAGGACTGAAAGACTATATACTCATAAAACTTGCCAAAGGTAACAGCTAGCAAGTAATGAGGATGGGATATAAAGTCTAACTCCAAAGCCCATGGATCTTTTTTTTTCCCCCAAAGCCCATGAAAGTTATATATTCTAACATCACAGAATTCTGTGAGCCTCTGATGAAGATTATATGCCCCTCCCCAGAAAAATGAACATCTTCACACATGCATTCCATTTTCGGGAGGATCTTGAATGATCTTGGAATCCTTTGGAATCCCTGTTGTTCCCTGATGTCTTAACTGAATGACCCCTCCGCAGCATAGCAAGTGGTAAGTATACAAGGAGTCTGGACTCCACAGAGTCTGGATGAAGGAATAATGGCAGGAGCAGAGGTCACTGCGGCTGAGTGTGGTAGGTGCTTCTATGAAGCCCTGAAAGGAAATCCTGGCCCTTGCTGAGGAAAAGATAGTGAAGGGGAGGCTTTCTTAGGGAAGTGTGGTTAGCACCTAATGCATGGGGCAAAAAAAGCACGAGGCAGGTTTCTACACCTGGAACACGGAGGAGAAGGGAATGTTCCTCCTACACATGCAGAATGAAAGTTGGTTTGGATGCCAGAGTTGACCTGGTAGCTGTCTCCCCAGATTCTACCCTGGTTTCTGAGGTCTTGTTTTGGGCTCCAGAGCAGGGCCAAGAACCTCTACTAACCCCTTGTGCCCCAAAAGTGCAGCCAACTCTAGGAAGACACAAAGAAGAGACGAAAAGTCATGGAGTCTTTGGTGATACCACTGAGCTCCTGGATCAAACCTTCCCTACAGCCTCCATGCCACCGAAGCTAATACATTTCTTTTACTATGTACGATGGTCTTCACACACCCAGATATTCAGATTTTGTTCTAGATAACTGATCACCACTGTATATTGTTCACTAGGTGAGAGAATACTTAAACATTTCTGCAAGAAGATTCAACTGGTGGAGAGGTACCTAGGAAAGGCTAAGAGGGGGAGGCTGGAATTAGGGAACGAGCAGAAGGGAAAGCCCGTCCAAGAAAAGCAAGGCAGAGAAAAACAGAACTCTGGTTCTGGTTAGGTGGGAGAAAACGAGGCAGAGTTCTGACACTGGATTCATTCCCTTTTACCTCTGATTACTTGCTATAGTAACATAATACAACAATACAGTGATCGCCCCCAAATCACAAACGTTTAATTTTAGTAGTCTCAAGTATTTCATTCATTGGACCATACCTAGTAGGAAGGTACTCAGAAGAAAGATGTACACAAAAATGCAGCCAAACAAGCAAAGTCCTTTGGAGCTGTTGTTGGTGTCTTATTTGCATGTATACCTCTGGTACCACGGGGAGGGTGACTCTCTAATTTAGGACACTTTTGAGAGGGAGGGGCACACAACTAATAATTATGCCAGGGCAATCAGGACATCAGGATAATAAGGATAAAACAAGGTGTCAACCCCAGAAAAGAAATGGTAAGGCAGGCAGATTTTGCTTACTGACGGCCCTGTGTCTCTGTTTAGGGGAGACTCTCTCATCTCCTGTTGCCATTTCTGTAGCCAGCGGCCCCCTGTTTGATATCCAGTGGCCTGCTCTCTTCCTGAGGACTCAGAAATCCTGACCCTCCATCCCCTACAACACCCCTGGGACATCCGCAGTATCTCTACCAGCTGTTTGTGGCAAAATTACTCACCCACTGATTCCAATGACAAATGTTTTCATAATTAGCTTTGAAAATCACGTCTTCCTAAAATTAAAGACAAAACAAAAGAAAACAAATCGAATGCTTATCAGTGAGATGTCGAAAGAAAGAAAGAAAGAGTCCTACGTTACGAGAGCCAGCTGAGGGGGAAAGTTGACCATGATCTCTGGGGAACCCCTGCTCCTGGATTAGCCACAGTCCGTAGAAGAGCTTTACAAAGTACCAGCTTCCCTCTGCGAGACGTTCTCCCTGCTAGACGCCATAGCTAAATCCAACAGAGGGTCTGTGCTCAGTAGGCCACACCACAGTGTCTCAGAACTCTGAAACTCAAGAGTTTCAAGATTCAATCACCTGGGGACGACCCATTTATTTCCCCAATGCCAGGGAACACCACAGAGCTTGCCTCTCTCCTCTTCTGAAATGGGGAAAACATCACTGCTGGCTGGAGCCAAAAGGCAGTTAATTCTCTTTAAGGGCGCAATTTCCTCATTCAGAAACCTAAGTCCAGGGCCAGGGCAGGCAAACTCTTTCCAAAAAGGGCCAGGTAGTAAAATATTTGAGGTTTTGTGGGCCCAGAGGCAAACTGAAAGTTACTATGGAGGTACTTATGTAACGAGAGAGAAAACAAATTTCCACAATGTTTTTGACGAAAGTCAAAATGTAACCATTGAGTACAATTTTGTTGGTGGTTGTTGTAATACACATCTATGTATTATGAGAAGGATGGAATTCCTTTCTTATTGGGATAGTATTTCTCTTACTGGATTTCAGAGTTAGTGTTCTCAAATCAGACACGTGACTGCAAATGTTCAGGCTGAGGGCCAGATTTTAGGCACAGGCCATTGTTTGTTGACCCCTGGCTCTGGGGAGGTGGGAGGTTGAGGGCAGTTTCACACAGGGCCCCCTGAGGTCCAGTCAAGCAGTCCTAGGGATATTCTAATGAACCATTTTCACCTCTTTCTGCGAAGAAAAGGTGGGGCTCAGCTGGAGGGAACCTCAGATCAGAGGTTCCTGAGGGTTGCCTGACTGAAGGCTGCTCTTTATTCCAGACTGCTCCAGTTGAGTGATCAGGGACCTAAGCTGGGCCTCCAGGATGAGTGGCTCCTGGGCTGGAGACCCCCAGCGGCCCTCCCAGTTCCTATCCCTGACCTGAGTCCTAGTGAGTTAATTTCTTTCTTCTTTCCAGCCTGTTAAAAAGCACTTTATTGCCAAGAGCAAAGAAAGAGTGCTGCACTTGGGCTGGCTTAATTGTGAGGCTCTCATGTATAATGGACGCCACTTTAATTGATGTATTATTAATGGTTGAGCACACTGAATGGCAAGGACTAAGGGTCCCCCTGCTTCGTGCCACATCTGTGCACACATGGGAGGATACCGAATCAGTTACATAGCATGCAAATAACGAATGTGGCTGTGGCACTGGAAAGATCCTTGAGGGGGGGTTATTTGGGTGGAAGCTAGCAATTCTGAAATGAAGACTGAAGGAGAGTCAAGAACCTACTTATAAAATTGTTTGGGTTCAGGAGGGAATTCCTACCATCAAAGGCAAGTTTTTAACCAAAACAGGAACCCTCGGTCCTCTATCAGTTAGCTAACAGAGCTATTGCCCAAGACAGGGTTTGGGTAAACGCTGGGCTCAGTCTATTAGCCCTAAAGGGGTGACAATTGTGGGGGAAGGGGTGGGGAACTGGGAGAAGCCGAAGCAGGGCAGGTGCTGGGGTGAGGGCAGGCCTAGCAATCCCAGAAGTCATTCATTTCAAAAACCTTGCCGGATGTACAGGGCAGTACCAGGCGAACTCCAAATTCGGGACTGGAATCCTCTACCTCCATACTACTTGGTGCTATGACACCCCCTGTTGCCCTCTTCGGGGACTATTTCAAAATCACACTTACTGAAAAACTTACAACCAGGAGCTGTCAGATTCCAAATACATGCAACAGACTCCATGAGGCAAAGACAAGCCTCATCAACTACACTCAATCACTGGGCGTCTCCAGAGACAACCATCTGAACTTTGCAGTCTCATCAACCTGGGGCATCTGATTACTTGGAATATAGACTCCCCCCACAATCTCGTGTGGGGGGGGGTTATGTACCTTATACGTTATGTACCTTATCCTCCCCATAAGTGCCAAGTTTTCCTCCACAGCAGAGTTATTTGCATAGAGGCAGGAGAACAAGTGAAGATCGCCGGGGGGGGGGGGGGGGGGGGGCAAACCCCAAAAGGAATATTTTAATTTTTTTTTAACCCTAAGTAAGAGAGGTTGTCGAGTCCTTTGTTTCGTTACCAGTATGTGCTTATTATGCGGATTCCTCTAATAAACAAGGTACGTTTTGGACTTTAAAACGGTCAGGGGTGGTGTGTGCGAAGTCAGCAGATGATAAGGAAGCCAGCAGCCCTCTAACACAAATGGAATGACAACATGCTAACGGATTGTTGTGCTTGTCCCTGACTCTCCAGAGCAGCCTGGTATTTTTAAACCAGTGAAGTGTTTCGGGACTTCTCACTCACTTGCCTTATTCAACAGGTATTTTGATTATCTTCTTCCACCCACCAGGCAAGTCTTTTCCTACTATTGTTTCAACTTTGCTCCCTTTCAGTAAACAGAAATCTCCCACGGTTAGAATTTCTGAATCCCTCAACCCATGCCTCTTCCCCGTGGAATCACTTTTATCTCTCACTGACCCCTAACAAAAACTTGCAGGCTTCATTTTAGGTAGACTCTCACGCCAAGGTTTTTCCATTTGTCTTCCCTCAAACATGCAATGGGTCCGGAACACCGAGCTATCTCGAACTGAAGGCGCGCCTGCGTTTCTGGCTCGCTCCCTCGCCTCCCCTTGGGGGACCAATCTGCTGGGTCAGGGGTCCGCAGACCTCGTTTGAGTCAATGTTTTAGGCTTCGAGGACAGCGTGTTGGGAAGAGGAAAGCGGCCATTAGCAAATAAGCGTGGCCGTGCTCTCGCAAAACTTCATGGACACCGAAATTTGAATTTCTTATCACTCCCACGTGCCACAAAAATCTTCTGATAGCTCTGCAACCCTCTGAAATGGTAAAGCCATCCTCCGCTGGCAGGCCGTTCGGTTAACAGGTGGCAGGCGGGTCGTACTCGGTGCACCCTCATACTGGTGGAATAAAAGCCTGCCTCATCCCGTAGGGATCAAGACCTGACCCCGAGCCCTGGCGACTTCTCTCTACAACCCGTACCGTCTCTTGGAGGTAGCCTCCCATTTTCAGGATCGGTACGGGACGTTAAAAGCACACACACTCCTGGCAGGCCATCCATCAGCCCGCTCAGAGCAGTGAGAGTCCCCCCAAGGCTTGCAAGACGCAACCCGGTTCAGGCTCCAGCGCAGCCGCACGTCGCGAGCACCTCCAGGCCTCGGCGAGGCGGTGCCGAGCGGCCGGGTCGCGCAGGTACTCACCGGGCGCCAGTTCGACCCCTCCCCAGCAAAGCGGCAGAAGCGCGGGCCGAACCTGCGCCTCTCAACGACCCGCCGCGACCCCCGAAGCTCTCTAGCCTAGAGGCCCATAGCCCCCCACTCCGCGCCCCTACAGGGTCAGAGGCGGCCTTGGTAGAAGACGCCAAGCTAGGGATCCGTCCGACCCCGGCCGGACGCGGTGCGAGATCCAGCGCCCGGGGCGGGGCGGGGCGGGGCGAGGCGAGGCGAGGCGAGGCGGGGCGCGACTCTGGCGACCGTGGCCCCACGGGCGCGCCCCCGCAGAGTCCGGCCCTTTCTCGTCGGGGGCGCGCGCGCCCGGGCCTGCCCCGGCATGAGCTTGGGGCGCCCTCTCTCGGCTCCGGCAGGTTCCGCCGGCGCCATAGCCGCCAACCGCGCTCCCGCCGCGCCGAAGCTGCCGGCCCGAGAGCCAATTAGCGCTCGGCGAGACGGCGGCCACTTCCTTGTCGCGGGGGCGCGCGCTCGGGAGGCTCGGGCGGCGGCGCGGCGGGGCGGGGCATCGCGCGGAGCGGCTCTCCCTGCGTCCGCTCGTCCGACGGCCAAGGGTGGGCGCAGATCCTTGAAGGCGCTCCGCTGCGAATCCGACAAAAAGAAACTTTGGGGTCCCCGGAGTGCCGGCTGGCGGGGCGTTCGGCCGGCTTTTCGTGCTTGGTCTTGAGGCTCAGCCGCTCCAGGAAGCGCGATGTCGAAGCCGCCACCCAAACCGGTCAAACCAGGTAAGGGAGGCGCTCGCCGGGTCCCCTGGCAGCCGTGGTGCCCTGCGCTTCCTCTGCCACTTGGCAGGGCAGACCGCGCACGTACCCGGCCTGCAGCCTCGCTCTCGGGAACCGACCCGCCAGGATGGGTCGCTTTGTTGCGTTCGCTGCAAGAGGATAGCAAGAGGATTTCGAGGATTTTTTTTTTTTTTTATGTTTAAAGGGGAGTCGCCCTCGATATTGCAATATTGTCATTCGCTGCAACTTTCTAGTGGGTGGGATGGTTATGTCCCGTTGTAGCTTGACTGGGAGACGGGTATATTGATTCCCTTAAGGGGGAAAATTATATATATGCCTTGAAATGGTCTTTTGGCCACTTCCTCTTTTTTTTTTTTTTTTTCGTGTGTGTGCAGTGTCAAGTTAGAGTTCTTGACCGGCCGGAGCGAACGGGAAGTGCGCTATTTGCAGGGTGGGGTGGGGGAGCGAGTCTCCTTTGGGACTTTCGAGAGGAGCCGCGGATGAAATTGCCCTCGGGATCTTGGGAAAAGCATTTGGAAAACTCTGTGCGCGAGCTCTCGCGGCGAGAAGAATGTAGGCTGCGGCAGAATAATCTCGGCTGTTGCGCTGTTGCTCTTCGGGAGTGTCCCTTTATCGTGCAGTCCAAGTCCTTTGCCTCCGCTTCCCCCAGTGAGTTTGCCCTGCGAAACTGGAGAGGGTGAGGTGACCAGTTCCCTCAAAGCGCTGGTCGTGGCCGATAGTCTGTGCATTTTTTATTCTATTCTTAGCATGTTTTCTGTGATAGGGAGACTCGAGAGTGACGTATTTCAATTCAATACTGTAACAAACTCGTGCATTCATTTGGTGAGTAATTACGGGAAACGTAGGATGTGGAAGATAAATGGCTTTGATGCACTTTGGGGCGTTTCCTTAGAATCTCCCCTAATTTAAGTATAGCACGAGCTGAAATGTATCCACTTAACATCAAACTTCGAAGTAACCTTGGTTGCAGGCACTACACCTTTCATGATTTTCTAGTTTTCTTTCTTTATCATCACACAGTGGCGGTTTCAAGTCATTTTATATGAAAATTAAGTACATACTCCTATACTTGACAGTCATTCACTGGGGACTGAAATTTTTTTGTTGGGCTGGGTGTGAAGGAAGTTGCCGGGACTTTAGCTTTGCGGTGAGCAGAGATGGGGTGTGGCTAGTATTGGGTTCCCTGCTTTTTTATAAGTGGAATCTGATGAGGGGTTTGCTTTTTAAGTGCATGTGTAGGAGGTGGCAGCTTTCTCAATTTGGATGTAAATCAGGACCTCAAGCACCCAACAAAGCAGAGTTGTTCTTTGCTGGCTAAACAAAGTACTTTATTTTAAAGAATGTCCCGAGAAGTTAGCTGTTCAAGAGGTTTTTCATCTCCAGACTTTAAGTGATGTCAGTGCTGCGGCTGGAGGGGCACTGACTGTAGTGTGCAAGCGTGTCCATGACTTGTGCGTACACTGGTTTGGTTGAAGGATCGTACTGTTACCAGTTAGGGATACACACCCAGGAAACCATTTTCGCGGTTGGACCCCGCTGCTTTCTCCTTCTCTTCAGCAAATCAGAAAGCAAAGGGTCGAAAAGGTCTCCTGTTTTAGAGATGGCTTTGACCCCATACTGATTTATAAATGAGATCCAAACTCAAGGTCACCATAGAAATCGGTTTGTTAGTTTACGAATTTACAATGAGAAATATTACTTTCGGTCCGACTCGAAACACTGGGTGGCCTGGCTTAATTGAAAACAAAACTGTCCTATTATAGTACTGGTCTACATTTACTGTGTGCCCGGCACTGATGTAATCACTTTACATGTATTAACTCATTTGCTCCTCACCACAACCCTGTGAGGTCAGGACCATTATTGTTTCCATTGCACAGGTTGGGAAATTAAGGCACGGCACAGAAAGGTTAAGTCACTTGCCCAGAGTCAGCGGCCCAGTGGGGAGGAACAGGCAGGATTAGTAAGCACTCAAGTAGTCTGATTTAAGAATCTGCATTCCTGGGGCTCCACGGTGGCTCCATCGATAAGCATCTGCCTTTGGTTCAAATGATAATCCCAGCATCCTAAGATCTAGCCCCACACAGGCACCCGGTTCTGCCAGAAGCCTGCTTCTCCCTCTCCCACTCCCCACGCTTGTGTTCTCTCTCTCTCACTGTCTTCTCTGTTAAATAAATAAACAAAATCTTTAAAAAAAAAAAAAATCTGCCTTCCTAGTCATAATGCTCTTCTGCCTTATATCACCATTCCTGCGTGAGGTCTTATGTAGTTTAGAACTAGTGAGTGGAAGTGGAAAGGAAAATGCCTCTTATCCTCAGTCAGATCTTGTGGTCACAGATGCACAGAAAGGGTTGGTAGCCGTGAGGAGAGTGAGCTTTACTTTCTTGTCCTGCAGGCAAGATGCATGGGTGAAAAGTGTCTGAAGCTGCTTGGAATTGGGAGTAGAGGGTTGTATTAAATTTTTGATTTCCTGGTTTGTTTATACTGAGCCTCATCCCAGATGAGAGTTAAGAAAGAAGGAAAGAAAAAAAAAAAAAAAAGGGCCATATAGAGGGAAGAATAAAAGGGAACCAGAGAAAAGGTTAACTTACAGACGTGTGTCCTAAGGTCCACCAAGGTTTCTGAAGAGTGGCTATAGATTTGGCTCTTGGCTTCCTGCATAAAGGTAAAAAAATCAATAAGATTCCTACTCTTTGTAACGATAAAATGTGTTACTGTCTCAGAGAAGAGATATGTTGATGGTACTGAGATCCAAAAGACTTCCCGTGGGGCCTCTCAAAGTGTTGGAGCCACTGCACATCTCTGTAAGAAACACAAGTGCGACGTCCTGGTGGTGGTCCCTTTAGCTTCCTGCAGGGCAAGACGTGGGCAAAACAGCATGGTTCAATTCCATAGGCTGTGCCAAAGGGAGGGGAGCTGAGGGAGGGAGGACAAAGGACTTAATGGAAGATTTCAGTAGCAAGGGACATTAAACTGTGATGAAGAGTAGTATATCTATTGGGATGATTGGCATATATCCCATAAAGAGACTGTTTTCTTTTGTACCTTCCTAAGGTTATACCAGACTTTGGGTTTGTAGCCACATCCAAAATTCATTTGCTAAACATTTCTTGATATATGCAGCTAATGTTTTGGGCCTTGTGCTAGACATTGGGGTTCCTGGGAACAATAAAATAAGGTCTCGTCCATGAAAATATCGAGTCTGATGGGGGAGATTTAGGTATCTATAGATAATAACTTAAGTTGACCCCTATCTGTAATTGGATGGCTGATCTTTTACCTGTTTTGTTAGGAAAAAAAATCTCGTCATTAAAAATAAAAGTAATATTTTTTTCTTCTTTCTTTTTTTCTTCAAACCTTGTAATATATTTTTTATGGGAAAGTTAGAAAATACATATAGAAAAATGTATGAAAATATAAATATTATCCCTACCTATCTAGTGATAATCACTGCTTTCTCTCAGGTGTTATTTTTCTTCATCAAATTTTCATTAAAAAAAGAAAATACAATTATTTTCAGAATGGAGTCTCAGTTTCAATTTTCAAGTGTTTTACTGTTGATTGGCTTGTTTCCTGTAGTGGGTATACTGTTGCTGAAGCTCTGCTTGAAAAATCAGTTTTCATGTTTTTGACCTTTACTTGCCTACTGATGTCTTTTTTTTTTTTTTAAGATTTTATTCATTTATTTGAGAGAGAGAGAGAGAGTGCAAGAGAGCGAGAAAGTGAGAGAGCATGAGCAGGGAAGAGGGAGAAGTAACCGCCCCATCGAGCAGGGAGCCCGATGTGGGGCTCCATCCCAGGACCCTGGACCATGACCCAAGCCTAAGTAACCCACTGAGTCACCCAGGCGCCCCTCCTACGGAGGTCTTTCTGTAGGGTCACTTTTGGCCACTCAAGATCTGTCATTGAAACTCTCCCCTCTCATTGTTAGATGTGCCACCAAGGTGCTCAGCCTGCTAAAAAGTGTCATGTTTCATGGTCTTCAGCTCATTCTTCATGGGACCCTCCTCCTTCTTCGGGACCAATGTGGCCTCTCAGGATTATACATCAAGCACTTTGGTTCTTGTCGGCCACCCTCCCAGGCCTTGCATTTCAATTAGGGTGAACCCGCAGGGCATGGTAGAGTGTAGATGGCACCTTGTGTTCTCACAAAAACTCTTCTTTTTAAAAGAGACTTTATTCTGAGACTGTATCCTATAAAAATGGCCAAAGGATATTGAGTGAGATTTGGACTAGAATCATCTCGTTCTAAGTCAGTTTGATAACCCTCCACTGTAGTTGGAAGCCAGAGGGCTGACCTTGACCAGTTCTTTCAAATGGCTTATTGATTTTGGTGGTGGAAATAAAGCATCATAAATATTTTATGTGTCTTAGGAAAATAAA